AGGCCAGGTATATATAATTTGTATTCGCATTTTTTACCTTATTTACACCATATTTGTCTAGCAGACAGATGATTACATTATTCTTTATCTTTTATGTATATATATAATACTATTTTTATATAATTAAAGACAGAATTATCATTGATTCATAGCATGCATGTAGTAGTGTAGCGTTTTTCTAAAGGATCTAGTCAGGGCTATAACATTGGAGGCTTTATTGTTTGTGATAGCCAGTTATTTTATTGTACATGCATGAGCGGTAAAAATCCTTAAAACCCCTGCTTATAGCGGAAGTAATAACCGTTTATCCTAATCGATATAGTGAAAGTGTGCCTTGGCCTCAGCATCTGATGCCACTTAAAAGTTAAACAAAATTTACTCAGTTATTAGACTTTGTTTCTGCAACTTGGACATATTGGCAAGAAGACTTAGAGAGATGCACCTTGTTCGGAGTTCATAATATGCGGGATAAATTCCTTAGTCGGACTGCAGACATCGTACATTCCCATCGTCATTGAGCCTTCTTATTCTTAGCACCACACTACAATTCGTCAAAGAGACAAGGAAAGCCGATCCTTTGACGAATTGTCTGCTAAACAATTATAGTACCACCTACCCTATATCCTCGTATAACTCCTTCAATATCACAATTTATTGTTTATCTGAGCCTAGTTGTGGTGTGCCATTTTGACCAGATTAAATTCGACATATTCACACTCCGCTTATTCCATCATTCCCCCATTGTGGTGGGAGTGTTGATCCAGGATCTTTAAGATCCGTATCTGCCCGGTTCACTCCATCGCAGCCACCGTATCTGTGCTATTCAAGACGTTATGTTCTATATTCTGCTCAAGCCTTTAATAGCACGTATACGCCAATCTCACTGAGCAAGCCCTTAAAGCCTGGATGCTCGAGTAACAGGGAAACCTAACTTGATGCAGCAGATTCACTTTTCACTGTTCTGAGTGTGCACTGAGTAAATCTCGTAGTTAGGCCTTTACTTCACGGACCATGTATATGGTCAAAGTTATCACTATTAGCCAACTATCAATGGTCTCCATTGTATCTCGCTCTTTTATCCCTAATGCCAAGTTTATGGCTTTCTTATGCCCTAGTCTCTTGTGTCTACTTCCAAATGGGATAGTTCAAGTTGATTCGAATAGGCTCGCTGTAGATGTCTCCTTTTGGTTTCCGATTGTTCTTCTCTGGTCTTGTACTTTCGTTTCCTAAAATTGAAAATATTACCTTGATCCAGTCATATTCTTTTTGCTGATATTGCTGTGCCCTGATCTTCTCCGAGTTTGTCTGGGCAATATTCAAACTTTTCGCTAATCCCGCAATTGGTCGAAGGATCTACTTAATTAGTCCCTTTGACTAGTTGTAGTGTGATGCTAAGAATGGCAAGGTTAACTGACGATGTCGGCGAAACGTCATGGAATCTACCAAGTCCACCGTCCGACCGGAAATTATCATGTATACTGTGGACTCCGGAAAATGCACGTTTCTCTAGGCCTTCCTGCCAATTTGACCAAGTTGTGGGAAAAAGGTAAATAACTATATACCGAAATGAGATCCAGACTATACAAAAGGCCAAAATTTGGTATTCATATCGTCAGTTAAAATTTACTCTTCTTGATAAAAAATATTGTTGAATGATGCACCTCTTGAACGCGTTTATTTCAAAGATATCTGCTTATCCCCGGCAATTGGAATCTCTGGTACGTCTTGGGGAGGCACACGCTTGCATGCGTCTCTCGAACACTGTGACCGTTGAAGATTGCCGCGAGGCCAGACGTCTACAGCGCGAGGCTCTCAAACAAGCTGCCATTGACCCGATGACAGGAACAATTGATGTGAATATTTTGACCACAGGTATTAAATCTAATTACTTTTTTGCCGAGTACATTGTCTTTAAAACATTTGCTTATCATTTAAACGTTTAAACTTTTGGGGTAAATTCATTTTGTCAGCGTATCGAATATTGAAGTCCGGGCTATTGTGTACACAAATATGCGTCACGGAGAGCCGCGGCCTCTTTGCAGGGGCGCCGCGAAATATTGTAAAAGCTTCAATTTTAGAAAATGTGCAATAATTTGCGGGCTCATTCATCACATTAATTATTAAATATTAATTTAATGTTAATAAAGTGAAAAAAATAATGAAGATACATGAGTTTTATCTCTTACGAATAGTCATACTTAGGGTAGGGCACTACGACTGGGAAAAGTTTGAGAACCACTGGTGTACACAAACTATTACTGTGCCTATCCAGAAAGAAATAATATCATATCACAATCCACCAGAGTAGTCTCAGCTTATTTGTACCAATTCAACATAAATGTGCTCATTTAGTGTATCTGTTCTTGTGAGAGGCGGCATACGTTGTTTTTACTTAACTACTCTGCGAGTGACAAGTGGTCCGAAACTTAATACTAATTTAAAGCTATTTGTCACCCTTTTATTTCTATCTAATCTAAATTTTGTGATAATTGCTGCTATTGCCCTAATTCTTTAGGTATAAGCGCAAGTATGCGTGCACGGCGCGAGGAAATGGCAAACTTGATCTGGGCCTTCCTCGAGGAAAAACCCCGTGTACTCACTTTTTCCTATGCTCGAGTCCTAGAGGAGATACGTTCACGATCAGATCGACTTATCCCAAGAGACACTTTTGAAGATGGTCTGAATACGCTTCGAAATGCTAACAAAATCGATTGGGCTGGAAATACCATTCGTAAAAGGTAGACTTTCCTGACCCTTCAAATTTTTTAACATAGCATTTGATTTCTGGCTATAAAATACTCGATTTTTTCATTATTAAATTTTTTTAAAACTCGTTCAATTATTTTACCTTGGATATACCCTGGCTGCTAGTCATCAATAATGTGTTTGGATAAAGAAAGGACTAATCTCTAATTAATTTC